CGTATGGATTTCCATGCACCAGAGGCCCAGGGGTGCGCGCACCCGCTGATCCGCTGACGCGTTTCCTGCGAAAGCCCGCAGAGGGGCGGCAAGGGAGAGCGGCTCCGTTCACTAATCCTAATTTATTTCGTCCGGCGACCAAAACACGCGGTCGAAACTTCACGGCTTCCACCTCCCCCCCCCCCTCCCTCCTCTTTTTCCTTGTTATTCTTCCCGTTTTGACACTCTAGAAGATCTAAACGTTACGTCGCCCTGGCACGCCAATCGCGCGCTCCTGGCCTATTAGCCTCCCGCACGGCCGGCTGCAACAACAACGCCGGGAGAGCGTCACGCGTCTTCGCGATCGATCTTCGCGCTGATTACCCGCGCTCGGCCCGAGCACCGCAGCCGAATCCGGGTCGATCGGAAGGCGGATATCAAACCGGATCGCCTCTTCAGCGAACCGTTTCGATTGCGTTCCGCGAAACGATCGCGCGCGCGCGGAGAGGGGGGGGAAGAGGGGAAACAACGATAACTCGATCAATATTGTAAAGAAGCTCGGGAAAGATTAATCGCTCGGAAGGCAGCAAAATGGTGGCGCATCCATTCTACGCGTCATCGATGCATCGACGAGGACCACTCCGCTGCGAAATTGCACAGCGTCGCGCAGAAGCCTCCGGAAGCGGATCGTTTGCCCACGGAGAGTGGGCTCTTCCGGCTAATTGAATCATCCTACCCAATTTCCCGCATCACCGGGGCTCCGCGGCAGCGCCTACGACAACGTACCGTCGGGACCGTAGAGACGGTTCACCGGAACGTCGGAAGGACGTAGCGGCGAGCGAGCGAGCGAGCGAGCCAGCTCGGCGCTTGTCACGCCCACGAGTCTCCTCCAAAGACCCTTTTGAGAGGCTATTCCGGACCATCGATCGGCGCTGGGCGCACCGCGGACATCGGGACATTAATTGAAAAATGGAGAAACGTCGCCCGTTGAAAACGTGCCCGTTCGAAGCCACTCGTCGCGGGACTATTATTTCTGATAACAGGCACACCGCGGGCGCTCTCGCTGTGTGTGCAAGCGAAATCCTTGCATCTCAATTCGGCGAGCTGATAATCAGCCGCTGCTCCTCCTTTGGCGGGAATCTACTGATATCGAATCGAATCACTCGAGTCGCGCTCACTCAACCGGTTTTGCAAAGCAAATTTCCTGCGCAATTCTGTTCTCTTATCGCGCGCAAATAAATTTCCAACGACGCGTTGCATAACGCCAAGAACGGGGAGGGGGAAGGGGGAGGAGAGGTGCGCGATAACACGTTACGACGCCTCTCTCGCCGTACATTTGTACCAATTACCACGACGACGATCGGGCGGTCGAAGGATCGATTAATCTACGAGAGACGCGCGTCGGCGGCGATTCGGCGTCGTAAACACCGACGGTTTATATACCGGGCGTGTGATTCACGGCGCATAACTCTGGAAAACGATTTCCCGCGATCGCGCGGATGCCGGCGCATCGATGGACGTTCAAACATTGCGAAATCCACGCGTTATCCAGCCGCATCGCCGAAGCGCCGATTGCATCACGCGAGAAACGAACGAGCGGGCGGACGGACGGACGGACGGACGGACGAACGGCGGTGTCCTTCGCCCATCGTCGAATGTGCGCCCGTCACACGCGGTGTCCTTCGAAACATCGGTCGCCCGTTGGCTTTCTCGCCCTCGAGGCGAGATAATCCAAGTCATTCCTCGCCTTTCCCTTCCTTTCGGCCGGCACAAATTCCCCGGAGGGTGACGCGCAGCTGGAAGGAAAATGTGGAGACCTCTCCTTCGTTCTCGAGGACACGGATGGTCCGAGGAATTCCACAGCGATTAGACGACCGGCGCGATCCGAGCGCGTGATGTCAGTTAGTTTTCGAGGCGACAAAATGTTGTTGTTTGCGAAAACGATATCTTCGCATTTATAAACAGCAAAATATTTAAAAATTTGCATAAAAAATAGTCTAATATCATCGCAATTAACATAGCAATGTGCGATGTGTCGCTGATTAGCTTCGTTCGTCGACGAATACAATTATGACGCGAAAAAGCGTCGTTAGCGCGAATCGACGCTATTGTCAAGCGGGGACACATTTATTGCGCGCGCGGCGATCACGAAGAAGCGCGGTGGGTGCCCTTAAGTGCATCTCGTCCGGGAAATATTTTTCCACGGGCGCAACAATGGACGCCCGTGCGAAATTTTCGCACGTATAAACCGCCGCAACGGTCGCGAGCGTGCAAACATGACGACGGTGTACGCGCGGCCGCCGTAACGCGTCATAACGCCGCGGGTGTATTGTAGGTCGCCAATTTACTTTCCATCCATCTCCGCAATTGTTCGCCTATCGTAACAACGCGGTCGCAGTGCGCGATGTTGTTCTTCCTCGCTTCTCTCTCTCTCTCTCTATATTTGAACTCCATCTTTATGCAGCACGCGCAGCAAGCGGCGCAAAGCGGAACGCGCGTGTAACGTAATTGTTCCGATAATGCAAATAGAAGCCGGCTGCCGGCTGTCGCCGTTCTGGATTATGTTATCCGTTTTAATTGCGAGATCTCGTGCCCGGAGCGCGGAAAAGACAATAGATAACGTTGCGCGGATCTTTCGACACTCGAGCGAACTTTTCAGTGTCGCGAAGAATGCGCGCGTTCGCGTCCTTGTAGATGAAAAGTGACAAAATTCCGCGTAATCGAAGACGGGTCTCCTTATCTCCCGAAAGCGTCTCTGCTCGATCTCTGCGCGGTGACGTCACGTGATGCATCTCATTGTTTATTACTAGCGCCTAGCTAGATATTCATCCCCGGCCGGCCTTCACCCGCTTAACTTTGCTCTTCCTTCGAAAACTCGATCGACGCGCAAGAAACTCGGGGCGGGGGGACGATGTTCAACGTCGCGACGGTGTGCGCCGCGTGGGTGAAAAATCGACGGTTATTATCTCGCGAGTAATGAACCAACTCGAGAACTGCGCTGTTACAATAGCGCGCCGACACGTAGCGAAATGTAGGACGCGAATAGTGTGTTGTAGCACACCTGAAAAGTACAATTGCCGGGATAATTGCTGGAATTAGCATGCGAGCGGACAGACCGTATTAACGGCGCACGAGACGCGAAATAATTTAATCCAGCTTCCGTACATCAGCGTCAGAAGGATTGTCGCATTTGCAAGTAGAATGAGACATAATTATTTTTCTTTCTTTTTTTTTTCGTTTTTTTGCGATTTGAAATATACATTATTTATCTTCGCGCGCGGCATTCGCGGGGATTTCAAGGATCTTTCGCGCGTTTATCTTCAATAGCGAACCAGAAGCTACCAGTCTATCATCATTAGGAAGTTCTTACGACAATCGTGCCGATAGCGCGAGCCTCGTTGAGCGTCGGTGCGTTTAAAAACGTCGAGAGCGCGAACGCGCGCGTGCGCTCTTTCTCTCTCTCTCTCTTTCTCTCTCCTGCGCGCGCGAATACGGCTTATAGATTCTTATATATCCGTGCCAAGGATAATCACACGAGTCCCGGCCATGTGGTTCCTCCTCGTGCGCACGAAGAGGATTCACCGAGGCTCTTTCTTATCTTATACGGCTCTCGTAAGTGATTTACGAGTTCGTTGGACCTACCGCCGCGCCTTTCGACCGTGCGCCATTGTTGAGCGCGTTACATCGTCCTCGTTACAATTGTACCCGGCCTTCCGAGTGCATCGCAAAGAGAACGTATATCCTATTTTACTCGAAAAGGAAAATATTGACACACCAAATATCCCCAAATATATCCCGGAATATTTCAGATGTCATCTATTATGACAATCCCTCCCCGGCTTCCGTCCGTCTAGCTTTCCACATTGCGAGTAGCGAATGCACTCTAGCGTGCGCGAATTAAACCGTTTATATATGGATTATGCATTTTAGACTTCTGTTTCAAGCACCGTTGTAATCCGGCACTAATCCGATGCTGCCCGCTTTAGTTGAGCCGCTTTCCATGCATACGTTTCCGTCTCGTGTAAATCAACTAAATTTGATCCGCATTAGACGATAATATAACGTAACGCGCAAACGTACTAGACTCGCCCGCCTAGACTCCTGCCATTCATAACAAATAGTTCATTATACGAACATTCCGCGCCGTGTCGTCGGTCGTGCGCGGGAAGGTGAAAAAAGAAGATAATTAAAACATCTATGCGCGAAATGAAGATAATCCTCCCGGCGGTGTAATGCGTCGATCACAATGATACATGGAGAATTTTACGCGCGAACGAAACAAGCTTAAGCGGATATAATTCGGAAATTCCCCGAATTAAACGCGATCTCATTTGCGCGCGCCCAACAAGGTTCACCAAATTCCCGGGGCTCTTCTAAAATCAAAGTAAATTCCTGCCGAGGCTAACCTGGATTTATACGAGACCGATAGGCCCGTCGTTAAATATGCACGCCGAGCCTTTCTCGACGTCGGCCGAAATTTCCGCCTCGACCAATAAACAGAATTAACAGGCGGGAGAAAAAAAAATTGCACTCGCACACCGAAAATGTGATTGTGTCGAGCGTCCTGTACGAATAAAAAGAAATTGCTTCGCACTGAATTATGAATGCAGCACTTTGGTGTTACGAAATGCCATTTTAAAAATTTATCCGCAATCTACCGACTCCTGTTAAAAAAAGAATTATGACAGTATCCGCTTTTTACGCGTCGCAAGATTGCATCCGCGCGAACCGGATGTCACCGGCAAACGATCGCGATAGAAAACAGAAGCGTTTCTCTCAAGGGAATGTCAATTCTCCGGCCGATCGCAGTTCGGGCAAGTTTCGATATCGTCGTCAATCGCCGCGGTTCAATCAAACTTCGGGTCGTGAGTAAACACGCCGTTTCTATCGCAATAGCCGCCAAACACTTTCCGCAAGAATTCGAGGTTAAGCTCTCGCGCGGCGGTTATGCGCAAACCGCGCGCGAAATTCAATTGCACGGCGCGACGGCGGAAGTAGCCGTGCCAATATCGGTCACGTACCTGTGGACGACGTTAGCCAGGAGGTCGTTGTGCCGCAGTCTGTAATCGACATCCACCTTTTGGTAGTTGACCGTGAGAGTGCCGGCGCGAATACATCTCTCGTATTCCTCGGCTGGATGAGCACGGAATTCCCTCGCGAAAACCTCCAGGATCTTCTCGCCGACCCATCGACCTTTTGTGAATGTCGTGAAGGTGAAGTAATAGGGATATACCTTACGGAGACCTGGAACACACAGCGAGACCATGAGAGACCGATAAGAGAGAACGATAATTACATCGATTCCCGTAAGTCGTCTTTAAATGTCACGCCGCTTAACGGGCTATATCAGTTACATTGCGAAACGAGGCGCGCGGTGCGCCTCGAGCGCTCGCTCGCTCGCAATTAATAGGATATTAGCGTCCAAGTAGCGTTTAAGCACGCCTGTGCGAGGCCGGAACGCGCGACGAATCACGAGAATATAATATCTCGGAGAGGCCGAAGCCATAATAAATCACACTCGACGGATACGCGAAGATGTCGCTGTTATTTGCGAATCTATTATCGTCGTCATGTTCCTCCGCGGGGGTGATTGCTTTTGCAAGCGGAATTTACGTCCGGGGATTAACATAAAATCGATTGCGTCTTTCTCTTTCGTAGTCCCCCGCGATAAAAAAGACGAGGAAAAGGGGCATATTTAAATTTCTGGAACATCCTGTTACTCGAACAGCAATTGACTTGGAAATTCGTGCTGCAAAACGTTCTTGCGCAGTCCGCGATATTTCCGGCAATCTCGTTTTTCTTTTCTCATATTAAGTGGAAATTAATCCGTCGGTAGGTCCGAGTCTTGGTTGCGCGTCACGCTCAAATGAGATTTCGGCCCTGAGCGAAGCGAACGGGAAGTTGATTAATAAACCGGGATAAGGGGAATAATTTTCCCGGCTCCTTCGCGGCAAAGATTTCCGGCGCGCGTTAATGAAAGATATACAGCGCTTTATAAATTTATGCGCGCCGTATCGCTCACGCTTGATTGAATAATCTGGTGTCTTTAAAAATTATATTCCGATACCAATCATCGCGGATGCTCTTTTCCTCGCGCGCTTTGTCCTTCCGCTCTTCGATAATTTTATCATCCACCTCGATGTTATAAATCAAGTGGCGAAAAAGAACATTCCGCTCGTTGTTATCGCTTGAAAGAGATGCTCCTGAGAATTTTATGATCTCGGAATAGCTCCCCTTATTGTCCGCCAATCAACCTGGAGAATAGTTGGCCGTTCCAAAGCCGCACCGTGTGTCTTTCCCTCAGTTGAGTCCTTCGCTTTGGGACTCACGTTGAGCAATTTCTCCGGAGGATTGTTTTCCGACCGGAAAAAAATAAATAAATACCTAGGGGAGACCTGATAAATGTCCCGCCATCACGTCCAGTCGCATCAAAGACGCTTTTTTTTCAATTTTATATCGCATCGTTTAAGAAACAGCCTGCTTATAAGATACCAATGGACGTCTGACATTTAGAATGAAAAGAGCGTAGAATCACCATTGCGCTTCGTATCAAGTTATAAACATCTTACTTAATCCTCGATCTGTCAAGAAAAAATGTGTACGAGAGCTACCAGTTATTTCAATCACGTATAAATAAAAATGACAATAGAGATACAATAATAACGGCGATAAAAAATACAATCGAGTCCATTGGACTCTGGTGGACGATGGGTCAAAAAGTTTTGTGCACTGCAAATCGCTTTTCCACAAAGAATTATTCCACTGCAATTTCTATTGTACGTATCGTATAAATTTGAGATCTCTCGCGAATGAAAATAGCGGCCATTACACAAAGACTTTTCGAGTGATCAATGAGAGAAAATTGGTAGTCAAGAAGAAAGACGTATTCATGTCAAAGAAACCACGCGCAGTTCTCGTCTGTCGGATAGTCGGATAAGCAAGAGTTGACCTTTGACAAGAGAGAGATTTCCACGCAGAGGAGAGTTTGCGAATAAACAAAAACGGTTCGCGAAGGAAAGGAATCTTTTCTCTCTCCTCCGTCGCTTCAAATTAATTAAATTGCCATCGAAATGTGAAACGTCGACAACGGTGTTCATGTAGTATGTACTTTCCGCCGGAATAAAAAGAAGCGGAGGTCATCCGACACTCGAAAGAAGAGGCTGCGCGCTCGGGACGTTCGGCACGAACCGAGAGAAACGATTGATCCTCTCTCGAGCTTTCCGAAATAGAACCGTCGGGACGCGGTCGGTTAGCCAAGAACTTCTCGGAAAGCGGAAGGAAATCGTCCCCGCACATACGAAGGGAAAAAGGAGCAAGGCCGACAGTGGGCGGAGAAAGGAATGGGTGAATCGGGCAGAAGGGAGAGAAAAAATTAGATGACCCGCTTATATGAAGCGTAGAAGAGAGCTCCCCTTCGACGCTTGAGAAATGCATCGATCTCGGCGTATTCGGAGCTCGTGTTAAACGCGTGAGAGATACATATCGTGATATTATTACAATCGGGATATCAACTGTCCGCGAAAATATTTGTCGAAACGCCCGTCGCGCGCCCGTTGATTCGCATAATCGCGTAATTGTAACGAAATATCCTCGAGTTAACGATATCATAATATTAACAGAAAAACACCGTCGGAACGACGGTCGCAATTAACCGTGAAGTTTATTTCCCGACCGTGGATTCCGTCGAATCGACCGCGATCCTTGATGTAAAGCAATTACGACGCTATTACAAACGCGATGAGACGCGACCATCTTACCTCATAGCTACGCGGACCAGTAATTGCCCCCCCGATGTCGAAATTGTTCCCGGGCCCTCGACATCGAGCCGTGTAACTTTCTCGCCCCCCCCTCGTCCCTTCGTCTACCTCCCCCCCCCCCCGACATCG